CTAAAAATTAGATCCCCTATATAGACCCATTATAACCCCTATATAATCCTTATATAATTCCCCTAATGGTTCTAGGGGATCTAATTTTTAGATCCTCCCAGGGGTCTGTCTCTTGCTAGGCTCAACTTTGCTCACCTGGATTTCCTGTTCCCGTCCTGTACAAGGGCCGCTACTGTACTGGCCTACCTGAAAACCAGCTCCTCAAGGGAGGAAAAGTGGTCAATTGCCGACGCTGAAAATCACACGTTTGGCGTTTCTGAACCTCTGAAAGCTATATGGGGATAGTGGAAAAGAAAATGGAAACTACTACGTTATAATAGTTTGTTATAATAGGGTGTATATATATATATATACCTATATACATTTATTTGGGCTATAATGAGAAATATGCAGTGGACTGCCCATGTGCCAGCCTTGCACCTCCTAGATTGCCCTAGTCCTCTGCTTTCAGGCAGCTCACATCCTCAGGTCTAAGCCCCACAAGCAGTTCGCTTTCAGCCCAGAGGTCAGCCCAAACCTTGGGATCATAGGACGTGAGTCGGAAAGGTCGGAATGGAAGGAGTTGAAGGGCTGGTCCTGGCAGATCACCTGCAGGGTCGATATCCGTAGAGGCCGTTGGTCGGCCATCTTGCCAGTAGCGGCCAGAGAGCTTACCCTCAGGCTGTGTGGCCAGGACCAGGGACGTCTTGGCTCCCTCTTCCGGTGACTTAAGCACGTAGTTCAGCAGCGGCTTTGCTGCATCCTGGAGAGGCGCCAACAACTCCGAGGCACCTTCGCCCATGTAGCGGGCTAGCTCGGTGTTAACAACTCCAGGATGGACCGCGTTGGCCACCACGGGTAAGCCACGGTCGCGGCAGCGTCGGTCCAACTCGTATGCAAACAGGACGTTTGCAAGCTTCGATTGTCCATAAGCTCCCCAGGCGGTGTACTCATAGGACTGTAGGTCTGAAAGGTCACCCTTTAGCAGCTTTGATGGAATCTGATGCGCGCTTGAACTCAGTGAGATCACACGCGCCGGATCTGCCGCAGATCCACTCTGTGCCAACTTGTCCATAAGCAAGTTCGTCAACAGGAAGTGGCCCAAATGATTGACTCCAAACTGGTACTCGTAGCCATCCTCTGTCTGCCTCCGGTCAGGAATTGCCATCACACCTGCATTTAGGATCAGGGTGTGAATGGGCACTTCTTGCATCAGGACAGCCTCCACGAAACTTCGCACGGACTTCAGAGATGCCAGTTCCAAAGGAAGGTATCGAAGTTCCACTGCCTTATCCAAACTGCCAACCTTCTCGCGCAGCTTGTCCATGGCCTGCTGATGCTTCTCCGCATCCCTGCCAGCCAAAATGATTGATCTGTACATGCCCGACCGGACAAGTCCCTCCACTGTCGCTAGGCCGATGCCGGTGGAAGCTCCGGTGATAACCGCCACTTTGCCATCAGAGGGAAGGGCCGAAGAGTTGAAGCCTCCCAATGTCAATGAGAAGGAGATAGGGCCCTCAGCATCCACAACTGGGCCCTTTGAAGCCGCTCGACGGATGCTTTGCTGAACGGCTCCACTCCTGGGCAGAATGCCCGCAGCAAAGGCATCACGCGCCAGGGCAGCAAAGCCAGTGACGGCCAAGACCAAAAGCCCCTTGGAAAGGATACTCTTCCTACTTCGAACAGCCATGTTTGAGCGCCACGCGCCTAGTACAACTTGAGACTGCACAAGGTCCACAAGCCACAAGGTTGCGCGCGCTCAAGGATGACATGCAGACAAATGTCATGTGCTCTCAGCACCTCAGTGTGGTCAATGAAAACTGAAGTCACCAGGGCAAATACCTGTTGGCGGGTCCCAAGTGGCAGAAGACAGCGTGGCTTTTCCAGCAACGGTGAAAGGAATTACAAACCCTGTCCATTATCGAGGCATGTGACAAGGTGCTGGGCGTGACATGTAGATATGCACCATACATCTCTATCTTGCTGTGTACAGAAGTAGGGTCCACACGAGAATCACGGCTAGAACGGAGAGCGTGGAGGTAAAGGAGAGAAGGCGTTGGTCCTTGACGTTGCAAAACGCATCAATAGTATTCGCATGCTCACTCAAACAAGACTCATTACACGTGTTTGCGGTAGCATCCCATCTACTGCTCTGGGTGAAACAGCAAAGGAGGCATTTGCCTACGTTCTTGGTAGTGTGCGTAACCTATTGTGGTCTCGCAGCACTGATGATATCGTCTCAGTTTTGAGAGCTAAGCTGACGCCCAACCGGTGGCACATGACCTGTCTTTGAAAACTTCAGCCTGCCATTGGGTTGCAACGTGATCTCTGTTATTAGACCCGTGCACAGGCCATGGCCGCTTGTTGTTGGCGATTTTGGAATTTTCGCATACACTGCCAGGCATCCTTGCACACTGTGATTAACCACAGTATCGAATGAGAACTGATGCTGTTCGAGCTTCAGTCCAAGTGGCACACAAGCAAATGTGATACCAGGCAGCACGGCGTTGTGGAAAGGGTGCTTTCATTACCAAATGGCGAATCCCACTGACCCGGGGCCTGCCGTGAAAACGGCCCTGTGGGAACTACCTGGCGAACCTGTCAAGGTTCACCAGCAGATGGATTCAGAGGCAAATTTAGCAGCCCGGAAAATCCCAAGTCTGCTGCTTGGGTGTCAAAGGGCTGGGCAGCTGCTCTCTGTCGAGAGCGCAAACCCGCTACCAGGCATCACAACTTCTGCTCTTATTTCGTTCAAATCGTCCCCGCGTAACTGAGGTCCTGAAGCACCAGACTGCCAAGTCTGCAGCTGCAGCAAGAACATTACAAGAATTTCACACGGAGGCTCTGCCAACCTGGTCGTCAGGAACGGAGGCAGTGAGGCACAGCGACGCGTCTTCCTTAACGTCTGGGACTGCTCGGAAGCCTCAGTCACAGGAGCGATCACTCCGTCAATTGTGAGCGAGACACCAACTAAGTCCTGGAGAAATGTGACGCTATCAGACAGGATGCTCTACCGCAATGCACGGATGGTTACAAGTGATATAGGCTTTGGCATGGTGGACTGAAGCAAGGCCACTTCGAGACCTGAATCCGCCCCAAACACTTAAAGGGATGAAGCGGCCCGACCGAATTTGGACTGCATCGAGGTCAGATGCAATGAATTGAAAACACCCGCAGAATGTCTTAGATTATCTTAGATTGACATTGCATGCCCTGTATGCCTCCAACGTGTTTAGTAAGTCCTTTCCAAGATAAGCCGTGGTCGTGCAGGTTTTGTGTAGTGCTCGTTCCAAGCACCAAAGGTGTTGACATCAATGACAAGTGGCTGAGTCCACGGCTACCATTGTCAAGCACTTTAGAGTCATTAGATCTAAATGCCAGGTGGCCGATTGTGACGACGTGTAGCCGTGAAAGCTGACTCGCCTTGCGCAGATAGAAGTGTCCACTCAAGATCTCGACTACCCGTCAGACTCACATAGACTCATAGATGCAAGTCTGATTGAGGCAAGTGTCCGTCTAGGATTGCATAGGGCACCTTGGACAGGTGGGACCGAATGTGCTTCAATGATGTCAAATGTGTTCCAAATGTGCTTGCAGCCTGCAATGCCCAACTTCCCTCAGATGACGCTGCTTCAATTGAGCATTCGGCCATAGGTCTGTGCGAGGCTGCGAGGCTTTGAGTTCAGCCTGCTCGCGCCATCTACAACGCCTTGCCTTGGCAGTGCGCAAGATCAATACACTGGCTTGACTTGGTGGTAAAGGAAAGAGAATGGAGTGAACAGATTAGCATTACGTAGTGGTAGTAGTAGTAGTAGTAGTCGTAGTGGTGGTGGTGGTGGTGGTGGTGGTGGTGGTAGTAGTAGTAGTAGTGGTGGTCATCGGCGTCGTCGTCGTCGGCGTCGCCGTTATCGTGGTGGTCGTGGCGGACGTGGCGGTCGTGGCGGTCGTGGCG